ATTCATTCTTGTCACAAGAGAAAGTAATAACAGCAACCTCATATTGTGGAGAAATTGAGTGTAGGCGCGAAAAATTGAAAAAGAAACGTGTGAATAGGGATGACTCCATTTTGCTACAAGAAAACGCACGGTCGCTCTCTTTTTAATCAACTGTCCAAATGCTGCATAGCCTAAATTATCCTCCATATCCACCTAATATATCTCCTACTGATTATCACTTATTTAAGCATTTTGAGCTTTTCGTAATCAATAAAACAATTCTCCAATAAGGACTGTTTCGGTGTATCACAGTTCATCAGTGTGGCTAGACATCAGATTGCTTTAAGCCTAGATCGAAACTCGACCGATTTGCCATCAGTCAGAGACTCTACCCTAAGCTATCGGCGCACGATATAGAAATGGAATCTTTTAACGTATTATATACGTGATGTATATAAACGGTAGATCAGCAGCCATAGCGCTCAGTTCTTGCGAAGAGCGATGCGTTAAATAGCTGTTAAAAATTCCCTTTCTCCATAGTGCCCAATCGGCGAACGAGAGAAATTTTGGTGGATTTGAATAATCATTCATAGTAATTCTTCGAGTCTAGAAGAAACTTTAACAGATTGCAGAAAGCATTGGACCAACGGGTCTCGGTGACGAAGAAGAAACTTAATAGACTCAATATAGCGCAGGGTGACTGTTTTAGAATACAAGGTACCGTAAGTTTGGATATTCGGGTACTTGATACCGTAAGTTTGGATATTCGGGTACTTTAATGGATAATATTAATCAGTGAATCGTGTCCCAATACCAATTAGTTCGTTATATTCACTTACGCGTAAATACGCTTTGTTTCGAAAAAAAGGATTCTTTTTTTTATCGGCAGCATCCGAGAATTGCAGAGTTGTAAATTTCCATTAATGACGAAATACAGGGGGTTTACCAATTTTTTAAACAAAATGATCGGGTACAAACACAGACACACACACGTACACAATATATATATATATATATATATATATATATATATATATATATATATATATATATATATATGCTTTCTTTATTCATCTACCCTTAACAGCGCTTAGAGATTTTTCAAAATGGGTGCCTGTTTATTTTAAACGCTCCCGGGATCTATTGTTCGTTTCACGTTTTTTTATAAGGATTGCACCAGCGTAATAAAATTTTAAAATAATGTCTTTTGTTTGTTAAATTATTCAACTCTTCAAATTCTATAATTCCAGTTTCATTGAAAAGATTTCAATTCCTGTCTCTGTATATGTTACCATTCTGCTAAAAGTGTTTTCGCTTTCAAAAGCTAAGCAAATTATTAAGAAAGAGAAAACACTTCGTTAAAAACTAAGGAAAGTTTACAGAGTGTTTCACAATTTTTGAAACAAAATGATCAGGTGCAAATCAATGACCACAAATAATAGTGTGATGGAAATGACATTTATCGAACGTTAAAAAGACAACAGTTTCGGATCAACAACCATTTAATCTCAAACATGAACCAAAAATATCAAGAGATGCCCTAGATTACATGCCCCATATGTCTGCTGTTCAGTTGAAGTCACTGTTGTTGATAACATGTGCATATTCCTCCTGGGTGATCGCTTTAATCTTATCAGTGATGGCTGCCTTCAATGCAACAGTGGTGCGGAGGTTGCCTTAATAGATGTTGTCCTTGAGGAACCCCCAGAGGAAGATATCTGAGCTGGATCAGGTCAGGCGTGTGAGGTGCCCTTTCCACTTCAGCTTTGCGGCTTATGAGAGAATCCCCAAACTTCTCACGGAACCATGCCAGGGTAACATTAGCAATGTGAGGAGGAGTACCATCCTGCTGGAACCATTGTTCTTTCTCATCAAGGTCCTCACGCATCACGAGCTCTTTCCATCTGAGAGGCCGCTGCTTTGTTTGCAGATTTGTACTAAACAGCCTAACGGATGAAATGCCAAATCGGCGAGCTGAGTTCAAATCCCAACCTAGTCTGATGCGTTCAATTATGTCCTACTCCCCAGATCCAGGTGTTGGTTAAACAGCAAGATAACGTTATCTCGCTTCGCCTGTCAGCCTGTCTAAGCAAAGGAGAGCTGTGAATTCATGAAGAAGTCAACGAGAAATCATTCCACTGTATCTCCTAAAAAAAAAAAAAAATGATAGCAAGTTGCAGATACTAAAACAAAAGGAAACTGTCGACAGACACGATCGCCCACGACGGGAAGGAACATGTGATTAAAAAAAATAAAGAAAATGGATAAAACCTTTGGTTCCCCTTTCAGATATTATTATCCAAAATCTATTGAGAAAATGTTTTCTTTTTAAGTAAACGGATTTTTTTTTAAAGCGGCTAAAGAAAAAATGTTTTTAAATGTAGCGCCTTTTGTTTTAGACAAGATTTCATTTTGTCTACGCCTACAATAGATGTGCTGTATTAAAAGGAATGGATTTTAACCTAACGACAAATTTAGACATCAAAAAAAAAAAAAAAAAACAAGAAAGAGAGAGAAGGAACTAAAACAAGAGAAAGAGCGTGAGAGAGAGAGAGAGAAAACAGAGAGAGAACGAAACAACAAAAAGAGAGAGTGAGAACGAGAAAAGTAACATAAACAAGCGAGAGAAGGATGTAAAACAAGAGAAAGAGAGAGAAGACGAAACAATAAAAGAGAGAGTTAGAAAAGTAACAATGTACAACAGGAAGTACAACACAAGAGAGAGAGAGAAAGAGAGGACGAAACAATAAGAAGAGAGAGTGAGAATGAGAAAAATAACATTAACAAGCAAGAGAAGGAAATAAACAAGAGAGAGAGAGAGAGAGGGGGGACGAAACAATAACGAGAGAGTGAGAATGAGAAAAGTAATATAAACAAAGAAGCCGAGACGAAACGAAACAAAAGATGGAGAAAATGAGAGAAGAACGAAAAACAAAAGATAAAGAGTAAGAAGATGAGGAGGATAAAAAAAAAGAACAAGAGGGAAAGTGAGAGGCGAGATAAAACGAAAGAGAGAGTTAAAGCGAGAAAATGAAGACGACCAAAAAGAGAGGCGGCGAGAAGTAACAAAATAAAAAATGAGAGCGGTAGAAGAAACAAAAACAAGACAGAGAAAGAGAGAAACAAGCGGAGACACACACAATAAAGAGGGAGAGATAAGAAGTGACGAATGAGAAACAAGTGAGAGAGGAAGGCTAAACAAAATAAAAAAGAGAGGGTAAAAGGAGGAAAATGGACTCAAACAAAAGAGACACGGAGAGCAAGTAACGAAACGAAACAAAAGCGATATGGAAAGCGCGAGGCGAAACAAAAACAAAAGGAAAGACGAGAGAAAATATAAAAGTTAAGAGAGGAAGCATGTAGAAAATATGCTTATTATTTGAACAGATGACATTTACATTTTTAGAAATGCTAACATTGTTTTAAGTCCAAATCCTCTGAAACCACAATGATGTTTTGTGCGATGTGTTTTAAAAATATGGACGAACAGCCGAAATAAGCACAAATGATGACAGGACAAGAAAGGTTTTAAGGTCTTCAAAAAATGTCTTTTTAACTTTGAATTCATTGAGAAAATATATATAGAAGTATTGCATTTTGTTTTAATAATAATTACGGTTCTGGAGAAGTTTGAAAGAGTTTTCAATGTTTTTCTCTAGTACCCTAATTATTTTATATTCAATGCGAAACAATAAAATAAAGCATATTAAAAAATAATATATTAAAATTCTAACCCTCCTGGAAAACCCAATAAATCAAAAAATATAATATTCTGTCTACTAATTCTAACACATCTACATTGGTTGTTTGGTTGTTTTATGGCATATCAAAACCTCAGTGGGTCATTTAATAGCAACACAATTTTTGAAATAGATTCATAGCGATATTTTGGTTATATATATATTTGAACCATTTTTCAATTACTCAGATTTTTGAGTACAATTACATGTATTGTTGGTAATTGTTTTTTTCCAAAAACATATTGCTGAAAATTTTTGTTTCAAAAATATATTGCTGGTAATAGTTTTTTTCTTCAAATATTTATTACTTTAAAACCTATTTTTACACTTTTATAATGTTTTTTTTTTTTACCTCAGTTTCGGGGTTAACTATTTGCCCATAGATGGGACCCTAACAGGTGCTACTACCCCGGGTGGACCTGGGAACACCAGCAATTAAGAGGTGGTCCCATGCTCCTAATCAGAGGCCTTGCTATTGGACGCAGCTTATTGTCTTACCCTGGACGCGGATTTGGTTTATCGTCATACCAAGGACGCCCCATTAAAGTGGAGAGGGAGTCTTACCCCTCTGCTGAGGTGCAGTCGGCATATTCTCCAGCCCCAGCTGGCAGGGCGGATCGCATGTACAATCGAAAAGACTATATTTCTTTTTTTTATGTACAATGTCCTTTCAGGACGTAGGCAATCATGGCTCTTCACCTCCCTCTTTACCTTGCAGCTCTCAACAAATTCATTCCCCTGCTTCCTCCCACAGACCACGTTCTGTCATCCACTTGCTTAAATCTGCCAGGTATGTTACGCTCTGTTTACCCTTATCTCTCTTTCCCTCTATTCGACCCGTGAGTATCAGATTCTCCAGGCTCTCTTTCCTCATTATGTTTCCCAGAAACTTCAGCTGCCTTTTCCTGATGATAAGTATAAGCCACCTCTTAGTTTGCAACCTCTCTATGACCCCATCGTTGCTCACACGCTCGGTCCATGATATCCTTAGCATCCTTCTGTAGAGCCACATCTCTGTCGCCTTGAGTCTCTTCTTTATTTTTGAGGAGCCTCGAGGACGTGTAAATGAAGCTTATACGTTTTTTTTTTTTTTGGTAACTAGTGACGATTTATGCTAGATAGAAGACGGGAAAAGTAAAGAAATATACTTTGTTTTAAATTTTTCCCTTTCATTGTCTTATTTTATTGAAACGCAAAGTCGCCATTCTCAACTGTTGGGGAGGGGACTAAGTGGTCTTTGAAAACGGAGACGCTTTTTGTTAAAGACATTTTAACTGAACTTAAAATTTGTTACCACTACATACAAAACAATGAAAAACAGTCAATACTAAAAGAAAAAGAAAAAAAGCGAAAAAGCCATCGCCTGTAATAATTGTCATAGAAGGAAACTTAAGGAATCTAAATAAAAGATTATATGAACACAAAAGGGACGTTTTACAAAATAATACGTCAAATACATTGGACGTCCACCCTAACGAGACTGACCACCATTTTCAAAATGTTACGCTGATGAAAGGGGGAAAATAATTCACTACAACATAAATGTCTAGAGAGTGCCCAGATCGCAAGGTCATCGACAGTAAATTTGCTCACTGGCTTTTCCAACATTCCTGGCAGTTCCTTTCATATGACAGTGTGGAATACCTACTTACAAAAGTGATGGAAAGAAAAAGAAAAGGACTCTAAATGAATTCAGCATAACAACAACAACAAAAAAATTCTAAAATTGCCAGCAGCCCTCTGTCATGCGCATGTGTAGTCGTACCAAATTAACAAATTTAGTCCGATGAAGTCCTTAAGGACGAAACGTGTCACAAGTAAACTTTTCCCTTTGTCCTCTAATTTCCCCAATACCGTTCTTGACACACACACACACACACACACACACACACACACACACACACACACACACATACATATATATATATATATATATATATATATATATGTTATTTTTCACACTCATTATCTTGTCTTTGTTTCTGTTGTCTCTTTGTGTGTATATATATATATATATATATATATATATATATATACATACATACATATATATATATATATATATATATATTAAGATATAATTATATTTATACATTTATATATATATATATATATATATATATATATATATATATATATATATATATATATAATTAATAATTAAAGTAATACTTGGTTTATATATTTGTGTGATTATTAATTATGGTGCTCGGTATAAATTAAATAAACAAAGAGACAATGAAACAAAAACAAGACAGTGAGATATAAATGAACCTTTTTGGGGGATCAGTCCTAATATTGTCATATTATTAGATCCACATGAATTATATATCAATAGATTTTTTTACTTACAATATATATATATAATATATAAAATTTAATTATAAATTCATATGTGCAATCGGGAGTTTATATATATATATATATATATATAAAAGAAATATGTTGTAGTGGTTCCAACGAGAGAAAAGTATGTATATTAAAAAGAAGAGGGGTGCCGCAAACGTTTTTGGTTGTAATGTGGATTTATTGAGAAAAATATTATACTTTGTTTTACATAATTTCACGACACGTGTTTCTGGTCTGGTCTCGCAAACCGTCTTCAGGTGAAAGTGGAGATTTTACATATTATTAAAAAATAATTAATTTTTCTTCATGTTCAATGTGGAATATTCTCGATATGAGACATTCTGTTTGTGTGTTGGCAATCCGAATTTTCTTTCTAGAATTGTCAATGAAGAGTTCTGCGTGAAGGGTCATAAAACAATTAAGGTTTGTCCAGCGAGTAGTTATCGGCATTTAATCTTTTAATGTTTTAGTGACCTCTATGTGCTCTTGGATCTGTTTCTATTTTGGCGTGTTCCTGTCAGCATGCGTGTATATATGCGTGCGTATATTTCCTTACTACGAGGAATTCGTAAACTTATTTGTACTTATACACGCATACACTTTTTATATATATCTACATATATATATATATAAAAAGCTGGCCACTAGTACTCGAGGATACCCATCTACTAGGGCGGTCAGCCAGTTCCTATTGTACACGCTTGCTCAGGCGCATTTGTGTTTATTCAACACCCACAGATCCCACCTGTTGTTTATACGGCAACTATGCTTAGCACGTCTTAGTTACACTTTCTGGGAAATAGCGTGTTATCTAGCGAGAACAACAATAACTTGTGGCTTCATGCTAGCATAGCTATCGACGGCCTCCAAGGGTTCTGTCTGCCCAATTTCACTCAAAAGGCTTGGTTTAACCCGTGGTATGGTTTTTAGGCACTTCCAACAGAGCCGCACGCTGGGATCGAGCACTCCAATCTGATAACATCAAGAAATCTCCTTCCTGACAAATTGACCATTGTTAGATTCGAACACAAGTCTTCATGGTAGACACCCCCCTACACACATATATGTATATATATATATATATATATATATATATACATACATACATATATACAAATATATATATATATATATATATATATATATATATATATATATATATGAAACATTCCTCAGAGTTAACCTGTAGAAAACGACAATATTTATAAATGTAAAAACAATAGGAAAACTGCAATGGTAGCCGACGCGTTTCGTCCAATGTGGACTTCTTCAAATCAAAAACGAAACGAATTTATTAAACAAAGTAACTAATAGTAACAAAACAAAATGTCATTAGCAACTGAAGAATTTAGAGAAAGCTATTTTTATACTCTTAACTGAAAATTACGTCAATTACTGTCACGTGTGGAGATATTGTTTTTATTGTTGTGTTGACGGATTCAACCATTTTCTTGTGATTTCTTGATACTGTTGTGTACGTTTGCTTTGGAGAGTAGTAATTCTGTTAAGAAAGGTGAAACAGGGAAAACGCCTGGGCATAGATTAATATTTGGATAATATTCAATGGCTGCACTCTCAAGGATTTTCCTTCTGAGTGAGCTATTTTCTTTTTTTATGCGTGTAGCATTTTTAAAATCAAAATTGTGTTTGAATTTATTTCTATGTATGACTAGTACATTAGTTAAGTTGTTTTTTGTAATGTCTCTTTTGTGCTCATAAATGCGTTTTTTTAAATTTCTACTTGTTTCTCCAATATATTGGGAGGAACAGTTTTGGCAATTTATTTCATAAATGTCTGCTTCAGAAATATTGTTGCTGTTAGTGTTTAAGGATCTGAGTATATCCATAATGGTTTTGGAAGTGTTTGTGACTATTTTAAGATTATTTAGATGGGATAGGTTGTTCAGGATAGTGGACGTGACGGTGTTGGTCGGTAGTATTATGCATCTGTTTTCATGTAATTTACTATTGCGGATTATGTTATTAGTCTTGTTTCGGTTGTATATTTTGTATGCCTTTCTTCTTGCGTTGTGGATGAAATGATATGCGTATTGTAGATTTTTGAATGTGTTTTCTATGTATGTTTCTTCTTTAAGTAAATATTGGGGACTACAGACTCTTAATGCTCTTAGATAGAAACTTATAAA